CCATTGACTGACCTCACCCAACAGGAAAGGCAGAGCAAGACTCAGCATTTACACAGCAGAAATTAGGTATAAAAACAAAATAGCCCCAAGCTGTGACTCACTATTCTCTCACCCATATCTGATGGATTGCAGTACCACAGGCTTTGGGAAAAACCACTCACTCATACATGCATGCAGAGGGATTTTTTTGGACTCATTTTTCTTTCTGTTTTTGTTTCTTTTTTCTACCTTTGCTCTTTATTTTTATTCTTTTTTCTTAGTTTTCTTTTTTTTATTCTTTTCCCTAATTCTAAACGTTTCTTTTATTCTTTAATCAGATTTTTTCTCACCTCTTTCTTATCTTTTCTTTTTCAAATTTTACTTTTCATTTTTCCTTTCTCCCACACCTCCATTATTATTACTATTAAGCTCTATTAATTTTAGTTATTTAATTGACTTATTATTGCTGAATTCTTTTCCATTGCTACTGGTGATATAGTTTTTGCTTTAGTAGATAATGACTGTATATATTTAATTTATATTATTGCCTACATTATTATTGCAGAGCTCTTTCCTATTGTTAAGGATGATAGAGTTTTACGTATTATTGTTTCTTATGGTATGCCAACAGCTGCTTAGTCTTAGATTCTAATCTCATTGCTGATTTCTTTTTATTGTTAATGATGGCATAGTAGTTATTTTAAACTTGTTTTTAATGTATGCCAATATCTTGTTTGTCTTTGTATTGTCAATATTACTGCAGTTCATTTTCTCCCTTCTGAATGGGCCTGGGTATCAAGCCCCCAGAAGAAGGCTGGACACTAAAAAGACACTCACATATTATGCTGAGTAGATTGAACAGGGGTATAAACACCAAAACATATCCAAACCCAAGGACATACCACAGGGAGACAGAACCTAACTAAAGAGATCTCCACAGTAGTAACAAAGTTTCTCTACCCAACTGGTCTTCAACTGACAGAACAAATATAATAGAAACATGAGAAAGCAAGGCAATGAGGCCCCCCGCAAAATCCCTAACTCCCCCAAAGCTGATCTCACAGGGGACAATGAAGTAGAGTAAGCTGTAGACAAATAACTCAAAAATCCAAGTGGTCAAAATGTTTGAAGAGATAAAAGAAAAAACATATAAGCAAATGCATAAGATGTCTAATAAGCTCAAAGAAGATTTGACTGAATAGGTAAAAAATTTACCAAGAAAATGTTTGACAAGCTAAAAAAATGAAAAAACAAGCAGTAAACTAACTGAGTTAAGTGAAACAGCACAGGACATAAATGACCACTTCAGAAAAGAATTAGAAAACATAAAAAGGAAGCAAGCAGAGACAGATGATACGAGAAAAATAATCAATGGAAAGGATGGGTACCAAATTTACTAATGTGATGACAGAGTGTCAGAAATAGAAGACAAGGTGGATATAGCAGATCATAAACTCAATGATGCCCTAAAAATGACAAGACACCATACAGCCACTAACAGCCACTAGATGAAAACAAAAGCAAAAAAAGAAAACTTCAGAATAATAAAAATAAAGGAAAAATTAGAAGACAACTTAAAAGGTATAAAACATTTATTCACTGAAATCATAACAGAAAATTTTCCAAATCTAGGAAAACAATTCAATATACAAGTACAAGAAGCAGACAGAACTCCAAATAGACATGGGCAGAACATAACCTCATAATCATAATCAAAATTCCAAAAATTCAACAAAAGGAAAGAACAATAAAAGCTGCTCAGAGAAAAAGAGCAAGTAACTTATAAAGGCAAACCCATCAGAATCAGGGTCGATTTCTCTGCATAAAACTTAAAGGCCACAAGGAAGCCTGGAAGTGAAGATTTTCAAGCCCTAAAAGAAAATAATTGTCAACCCACACTTATATATCCTGCAAAATTACCCTTGAGATTGACAGAGAACTAAAAACTTTCCACAACAAAGAAATATATGACCACTAATCAGCACTGCAGAACATACTTCAGGGAGGGGCTGGGGATTTAGCTCAGCGGCACAGCGCCTGCCTAGCAAGCGCAAGGTCATGAGTTCAATTCCTGGTACCGGAAAAAAACTAAAAAAAAAAAAAACTAAAAAAAAAAAGAACATACTTCAGGGAATCCCAGACAGAGATATATCACCAGTACAAAAGAGCCCAAGGAAAAGCATATATCTAACTGGGAGAGTAGTTAAGCAAAAGGAAAAAAATATATAAAGGAATCAACACTGGAAAAATAATGCAATAACAGGATTCAGTAAATACTTTACAATAATAACTCTCCATGTCAATGGTCTCAATTCCCCAGTCAAATGATAAAGACTGGCAGATAGAATAAAAAACCAAGCATGAATATATACTGCCTACAGGAGAAACACCTCATCTAAAAATATGTAGACTGAAAGTGAAAGCATGGAAAGCAATATTCCATTCAGTGGAGCCTGAAAACAAGGAGTAGTAGCTATACTATTTTCAGACACAGCAGACTTCAAAGCAAAACTGGCCAGAAGAGACAATGGCCAGCACATACCGGTAAAGAGAACAATTCAACAGGAAGAAATAACAATTGTAAATATGCATCAAATGTTGGTGCACCCAGTTTCCTAAAATGAACATTATTAAACTTGAAAGGACAGATAGACACCAATGCAAGCATAGTGGAGGATGTCAACATCCTACTCTCACAGGCAGATCGTGCAGACAAAAATATTAAGAGACACATCAGAGTTAAACCACACCATTGGACAAACAGACTTAACAGATATCTACAGTGGTTTGTCCAAGGACAGAATGCACATTTTTCTCAAAAGCAAATGGAACTTTTCCCAAAATAGATCATATCTTAAATCATAAAACATGTGTGAAATAAATGTTATAAATGCAGACACAAAAAGAATACAGCATTCTCAAATAAATGACCCAATGATGCATTTCAAGGTCCTGGAAAGAGAACAATACAAAGCATAAACTAACAGAAGGGAAAAAATTATAAAGATCAAAGTGGAAATTAATGGAATTGAGACATCAATACAAAAGATCAATGACTCAGAGTTGTTTCTTTGAAAGAATGGAAAGGGGATCTGTGCATTGGGCAGACAGATGGGAGGGGAGGGGAAGGAAAGGGGAAGTAAAAGGGATCAAGGTGTGATACACAGCGCGGTGTGGTGGCACACGCCTGTGATTTGTCTTAGGCTGGAGGATCACTGCACTTCTGAGGCCAGCCTGGGCTACAATAGGGAGCTCAGGGCCAGCCTGAAATACATAGCAAGACCTTGTCTCAAAAAAAAAAAAAGATGAGATATATACCAATTTTCCCATGATGAATGTATTTAGTATATATTGCAAAATACACTACTAAAATTGACTAAAAATACTACTAAAATAAAAAAGAAAATTAGTATTTTTTCAGCAATGGCATATCTTTTAAACATGTTAGAACTAGAGTCAGAAAGAATCTTAGGAATGATTTAGTCCAAGGGTCCAGAGTCCATAAAGTACACTGAGGTACGTTAGTAAATCTTAAAGCATTTACTGGATTGATCTGGAATCCACTTACCAGCCTCTGGCATTTTGTAAGCACTAAATAAAAGAATCATTTCCAGGGCAGACTAAACAACAAAAAAGGGCAAGATGTACTTTTACATCCTCTCTATTTTACTTGGGAAATTTACGGTAAGGACAATTAGTACTGAAAAGATACAGGAATTTGAAAATTTTAGGGGAATGAAATCTAGTCTACTCTCACAAAACATTTGTGAAAAATGCAATACAAAAAATGTTCTTGTTTTATAGAAAAAAAATGTACTAACCAAGATAAAATTATTTGTTCAGCTAATGAGGCATACACAAAACAAAAACCAGAATTTGTTTGAAAACACTGTATTTTCTTTATTGAATCCACACAGAGTTTAACTTATATACTAACTACAAGAATTGAACCTTCAAAAAACAATGGGGAAAATATCTTTATCTAAGGTATAATAGTAGTAATATTGAACTAAAGATTACTCAACATTCTAATCAAAAGCAGTGTTTACCTAAAGAAATCATCAACAATATTAAATGGTCTCTGGATTATCTTTACATTCTATAATTTTGAGTGGTAACAAAGACTTACCTGGATAAGAAGCTGCTTCTTGGAAATGTTTTGAAGAAGTATAGCAGAGACCATAAAAGTTCTAAAATTTAGGCTACCAATAAGACTACCACTAATATTTCAAAAATATTTTCTTCCTATAATATCTATCCCTCAACATGATCACCTACAGTTAGCAAAATAGAAATTTAGCTCAGTTATTATAAGAAACAGATCTCCAGTGACTTAAAACATTTTAAGAAGTTTATCTGATAGTATACTTTTATTTTTAAGCATCAGTTTTATTGCTGATTAAGTGGAACACAAGATATTAGAATGCGCTAAAGCTAAGAACAAGGTATTTTCTTGACAAGTGAATATATGAAAGTCAACAAAAATCATACATCATATAATAAAACAAACAAAAATAAGTGAATTCCCTGAACCCTATTCTTTTTAAAATAACCTAATTCTGGGCCAGGGGTATAGTCCAGTGGTAAGGCGTTTGTCCATCATGTGCGAGGCCCTGGGCATGATCCTCAGTATCAAAACACAAACCAAACCAAACTAGTTCAATAAAAAAAAAACTAGTTCAAATTCTAAATTCACCCTGTTCATGCCTCTGAATTTCTATAACATACCTTCTATAGCTCATCACACATTTCCTTGTACTGACTGTATCATTTTTATACAGATAGGAATTAATTATATCTCCAACTAGCAGTAAGTTTCATTGAAGGTAGAAACTTTACAGTATCTAGCACTTTACATTGAATTTAACAAGCACACAGTAAAGACAGGTTCTCATGCACTTTTTGGCAAGCATCTCTCCACAATTCATTTGTAGTGAGAAGGAATACGTGAATTGGTAACAGGATGTGAAATCTAAGTGGGTAAGATATACGTTACACGCATAGAGTAAACACCCAATAGATTGCATGACTAGTAGTAGCTTTTATTTAATTTTGAAAGCAACACTACAGTATAATCAGCAACAGCATAGTATTTAAATGGAAAAATGCATGCATACTTTATTTCAACAAAAGATTAAGTAGTAACTGTAAATACTACTCTATTTAACATCATTGAATATATAGGTTAAAACAATCCCAGAATAACATGCTAGAGATATAGTCATTTAATTAAAGGAAATCTTCATATGGTGTTGCTGCTCCTTGAGATGACAATCTTCAAAAACCTGTACCTCTTCTATCTTCTTTTGTATCATGCCTACAGGGGGACAAGTCACACAATCATTAATATGAAGTAAAAATATTCCAGGAACAGAATAGCACATACTCTCCCCTCCTATGGTTTATAAAACTTTAAATGTCAATGTAATAGCTTTAATTTTTAGAAAATACAAGAAAAAAATTCATCTAGCTGTTGAGAAACTATGAAAACAGTGGACTTTTGAAATTTTGTTTTTTTTTTTCTTTAAAATAAAGAAAAACAGTGGACAAGTCTGTTCAAGTCTGTTCTTTATCTGCTCTGCCTAGCTTTCATGCAAGTAACAGTCTATTTGAAACTCATATTTTGTTGGAGAAAGGCATTAGCTGTTTGTTTTATGCATCACAGCTTAAAAGTACAATATGAAGTAGTTATTAAATTAAGGGCACAGATTTTGGTGGGTCTTAGGTACCTACAAGCAAGATATACACTGAGTATATTTACATTTCTGATCCTTTCTAAGGATTTATTTAACTTAGTGATCTTCAGCTTTGCTCAGGGGCAGTGCATCACAAAATGGCATTGACTTTACCATATAAAACAGATCTTTTCTGTCAGTAAAAATAAACTGTTGAAGTAAACGTGACAATCTGAGTTTTTCAATTAACATACAAAAGTAAAATTGGCAATTTGTTTTAGTATTCGTTAATACTTAAGAGGATAAGCAATAACTGGTGGCAAGAAAAAAGAAAAATTTTCCAAAACAAAACTAAAAAAAAATTAAAATGTACTTTAAAATTTTTCGGCCAGTTGGGACAACTCTGATGTTTATTCAGTGTGTAAAGTGTAATATCTCATCCTATTTACAAGATAGATATTCTGCAAGATCACAGTTTAAGAGAAAGTGATTTAAATGATGGCTGTCTACCAAAAGGCTAGAAAAACAGTATATGCTGAGCCTGGAAAAATACATTTCTCTTTTGCTGTAATAACTAATTCAATGGTGCAATTTTTCCCCTAAATAACATTTTTAATGTGATGGAAGCGCAAACTAACAGTACAACACACCATTAACTTGAGATCATATGTGTCAACATAAGCACAGTCTATTAATTTGCTGATTGATACATATTAAATGCAAAGGAGTATGTTTATAACAATTTTAAAAATCAATAAAATGTCAAGAAACACAAGTTAGTGTTATTAAGAGAACCTTACTATAAACATTTTGGCATACCTTCTAATTACAATTCCAGGAATATTTCTGTATTAACACACTTTAAATTTTTAGAACTTTCATTGTTTAAGGGTAAAAACTGTACCTACACACATACTGCCCAGAATTCTGGTTCAATGATAAATATTAGTTGTTAAATTATATATTACACTAGCAATAAAATGCTAATAGTAGTCAAAACTTGTTAGGGGAAAACATGGCATACACATTTTAAGATTATTAAAAATAATTATATTGAACAATATGAAAACAGGAAAATAATTACATTCACAATTTTTAAAATGTGGTATGTCCATATAATGCAATGCTATACAACAATATGAAGAAATGAAGTACTGATACATGTTACAACATGAAGGAACACTGAAAACATTAAAAGAAGCCAGATATAAAAGGCCACATCCAGTATGGTTCCATTTCTATAAAATCTCCAGAAAAGCAAAATCTATACACACACAGAGTGGGTTAGTGATTGCCTGGAATTTGGGATGGAAATGTAAAATAACTAAAATGTCAAGAAAAAATACTTTACTAGTGAACTGCATATGTTTTCACAACTAGATAGTCTTAGCTAAATGGTTATGATGATTTATTTCTGTGCTTAAAATATTTTAAAAATATGATTTATTTCCTTGGGAAAGTTTTTGTTAAAATTGTTTCCAGCCAGTCCCATTATGATTTGGGGACAGATATTTTATTCAATTTAGCCTACTTACAAATATTTTAGGTAACAGTTTAAAGACTTTTATGAAAGGTTATAAAATGGGAAATTTTGTCATTAAAACCAAAGACAGCTTTCTACTGTAATTAATACATTTATTTGTACATATAAATATTATTGTATAGCATTTCATGCACTATCAAAAAAACCCCTGTACTCTCATGTTGTTATAGTACATCTCTTCTAGAAAAATCATTGGAGCATTAGGAGAAAAATATTTTAGAACAATGGTCAAAAGACAAATAAGTAACATATAAATGATATAAAACTATTTATAAACACTTAAAAGCATTCAATATCACGAGTAACCATAAGAATGCAAATTAAACCAGAGAAATATTATTCTCACCAATAAATCTGGTAAGGGATGATGATGGTGATGGTAGTTACGGTGATGATAGAAGTGTTAATACTAGAAGGAGTGCAGAAAAGTTAGTACTGTAACAAGTTACCAGTGAAAATACAAATTAGTACAACTTACCTAAAAGAAAATATAAATCGAAAGGATAAATCTTTTATTCTTTATTGAGCATTTTAAGTTCTAAAAATTGTATTTATGTGCAGTAATCATGGATGTACCTTAAAATTTACCTATAACTAAGTTTATTGCAGCACAATTTAAAATAAGAAAAAAGTTGGAAACATTAATCAATATTTAACAATGGGCTATTAATTTTAAAAACTATAGCATATCCATGCAATGAAATACATAGAAGCCCTTAAAATGTAGAATACTTAATAACATGGAATGATATTCATGTTCACATTTGGCAGCTTTGTATCTCCACCAAAATCTGAATACACTGTGCTCTGTACATATAAGGAGATAAATAAATTAAAAAGATATACTGGACTTTCATCATGGCTGACTAGAGGAAGAGTTGCATGAAAGGTGCTCAGAGAAGATCACTGAAACCACATGTACCAGAAGTAGAGAAGGAATTAGAATATTCATTGGGAAGACAATATGTGTAGATGAAAACTAAGAACTGGATCACTGGGGGGCGAAACAGCCAATGTAGCTGGTCTGCACCCTGCCAGCCTCTTGTCCCTCCAGGGAGCAGCCATTGTGAGAGCATTTCCAACAGCGTGAGGGAGGAAACAATGAAAGGGTGCTGAAGACCCTAGTCCTGGTTTCGACTCTCTATGTCAGCCCTTTTGCCAATTAGCACTAAAAGATCACCAAGAAAATGCTGCTGCCTGACTATCCTCACCAGCACTCACCAAGGGAAAGAGGACCCCTGTAACCCCAAACCTGGACAGAGGATAAATGGTGAACAAGGACTGGGAATTTCCATGGTTCACACTCTCTTGAGTGTGAATGGCTGATTCCAAGATTTCTGCACCAGCTGCTGTGGAATCCCCAGCCAAAGGGAGAATACATTTGTGGATCCCCAGGGCCCTCCTGAGCATGCCCCAACTCCCTGATCTTTGCCTCGTTAGTGAACCCATCCACAGTCTGCCACTGTATGTTCCTAGGCCAAGATGGGGCAGTGTCAGATTTGGCCCATAAACCAGGAGAGTGAATTCCTGAGATTGGGTTTGCCTGCGCTTGGTACTGGAAAGGACAGAGATGATATTGGTGTGGTTGCATATAATCAATCTGCAACTGAGGCAAGAAAGGAATGCTGTGAATACCTGGGCTTTATGGCAAAGTGGTCGCGAATGACCTGAACACACATATTCTCTGTCTCTTTCTCTGTCTCTGTCTCCGTCTCTCTTCCTCCCTCTCTCTCCCTCTCTCTCTCTCTCTCTCTCTCTCTCTCTCTCTCTCTCTCTCCTCTCTCTCTCTCTCTTTCTCTCTGTCTGAGACAGGGTCTTGCTATGCAATTTAGGCTGGCCTTGAACTCAGTATCTGGCCCTGGCTGGCCTGGAACTCATGGTGATCCTCTTGCTTCAGCCTCCCAAATGCTATATATTCTCTTGTCAGAGTATCTGAACTGAGTTCCTGCTGAGTATTTTCCATTTTGTTTTTTCTTTTGATTTGCTTCTGTTAAATTGTAGTCTGTGTTCTCTTCCTCTTCTCATCTCCTTATGTAGTGTTTGCGACTTAAACTCCCATAGCAATACAATTTTATTTCTTACTTATTTCTTTGACTTTTTAAATTCCTCAAGTCTTTAATTTGCCATATTCTGCTCTCAATCACTCCTACTTTCTTTCTCTCTGTCCCTCTTTCTGTCTCTCTCTCTCTCTCTGTCTTTGTCTCTGTCTCTCTCTTTGAGATAGGATCTCACTATGTAGCCCAGACTGGCCTTGAACTCACAGCGATCCCCCTGCCTCAGCCCCTTGAGTGCTGGGATTACAGGCACTCCTACCTTCTTTTGTATTAACTCTCTGTTCTCTGCATTCTGTTCTCACCACTGTTCCTTAAATTACCTAGCCCCCATCTCCCCTTGCCTCTTTGCCACATTCCAGGTACACAAATTTGTTAACAGGTTCTGGCAGTCTCTTAGCTCTCCTCAATTGCAAAGTACACCTCCCTCCTGTGAAACTAGTCCTGACCCCCTACAAATATCTTCTTAAAACCCTCAACACTAACACTTCAATCAAACTGAAAGTCCTCCAAGAGAATTTGATCAAATACTATTTTTTTTTCACCCACCACTATACCCCCATCTACCTGGTCCTCTACACACTTATGCTCCTTTTTCACCCATTCATCCTTTCCCCTCTTCTCCTGCCACATCATAAAATAACTGCTAATAACAATTGAATGTAGGCTGCAAAGAGTGCTAATAAAGGGTAGAAGTGTAAATACAAGGTCTATCACACATAAGCAAAATATATGATTGGATCTGTACAGTGTCCAAATCACTTAAAGAGCTAAATACTATCTCAAGAAAACTAAAACTGAAGCATTATCACAAGAAAGCAGTATCTTACTAAAAATATCTTCATATCAATTACAAGCTTTCTCCATCTACAGGACCTCAACCCTCAGCACCAAAAAAGGGGAAAAAAAGGAGGAAAAAACCCCAGATATATATACACACAAGATCATGGGAAAACAAGGCAATAAAAGACCTTCAAGGGCCTCCATTTCTCCCAAGGCAGACCCAGTGGGCACAGAGTGCTATGAATTGTTTAAAGAAGAGATAGAGAAACCTAGCAAGCTCAAAGAGGACATAACCTAAAAGTTTATAGGATTATCATACAAAATGACAGTACCGATTTGAGGAAAACAAAAAATTAGTAGAGCTGAATGACAAATTTTCCAAAATAGAGAATAAAAGAAAAAGTATCAGACAGAAATTCCAGATATAAAAAAACTTTAAAATTCAGAAACTGCAGAAATGATAAATGTGAAGACAAGGCTTCTGAAACCAAGGACAAAATGCTAAATTATGACTAAGTTCCCACAGAATCCTCAAAAGAGATAAAAGAACAAGAAAACGTCATCCAAAAGGTACTAGGTGACACTAAGAAGACCATCCTAAGGCTAATTTGAGTTAGAAAGAAAGTGGAAAACAGGAAAGATGGAATAAAAAATTTGTTACCAAAATCATAGAATACTCTCTAAATTTAATAAAAGAGTTCAGCTTACAAGTAAACTAAAAGCTTACAGAACACCAAACAACTCTGATGACAAAAGAAGCTCTCTTTGTCATAATTAAGACACATCATAATTAAAGACACATCATAATTAAAATGCCAGACTCTCAACAACAGTATTTTAAAAGCAGTCAGAGAAAAACAAAAAAAAAAATCACACAATAAAGGAAAATACGTGAGAATTACAGCAGACTTCTCAACACAAACTTTAACAGCCAAAAGGGCTTGGAGCGAAGTGTTTCAAGCCCTAAAGGTAAATATCTTGCAACCCAGAGTAATATACCCACCTAAGTTTTCCTTCAATATAGATGAACAAGGACATTTCATGAAAAGGAACAACTTGAGAGATTATGAATATCAAACCAGCACTCCAGAAAATACTAAAAATTCTCCTAGACAGAAATGCTAAAACCAACAAAGCCAAAACTCTAGATGGAATGAATACATCAAGCATGGTGCATTGATAAATAAGAAAAAATAGGAAAGGCAAAACAAATCTGCCAACAATAGAGAAAGAGCAAAATGTTGGGAATTGATCAATACCTCTCAGTAATAGCTCTCCATGTTAGCGGCCTTAACACTCCAATTAAAAGAACAGATTGGCAGACTGGATCAAAAATACAACCAAATAGTTCGTTGCATTCAAGAAACTCATCTAACCTGCCAAAGCCTGAAAATAGACCCAAGTCTATCACCATGCACCAAACTCAAATCAAAATGGATCAAAGATCTCAATACTAAAACAGAAACACTAAATCTATTGGAAAAGAATGTAGGTAAAAACCTTGAAGACATAGGGGTAAGCAGAGAGTTCATGAGCAAAAACCAGACTGCACAGGAAATACTTCAAAGAATCAACAACTGAGATCTCATCCTACTAAAAAGTTTCTGCACATCTAAAGAAATCACCAGCAGAGTAAAAAGAAAACCCATAAATTGGGAAAAAATTTTAGCTGACTGTCCCTCGGACAAAGGGCTTCTATCTAGAACATAGAAAGAATTAAAAAACACCAGCCCTCCCAAATTCATAGACCCAATCCAAAAATGAGCAGCTGAGATGAACACCCAGTTCTCAGATAAAGAAATACAAATGGCAAATAAATACATGAAAAAATGTTCAACATCATTAGTCATTCCAAAATTGCAAATTAAAACAACACAGACTTCATCTCACCCCAGTAAGAACAGCTAGCATTAAGAAATCAACCAATAACAAATGCTGGCGAGGCTGTGGAGAAATAGGAACTTTTCTCCACTGCTGGTGGGAATGCAGACTGGTGAAGCCATTGTGGAAGTCAGTCTGGAGATTCCTCAGAAAACTAGGTCTAGAGGTCCCATTTAGCCCAGCTGTTCCCTTTCTGGGTATTTTCCCAGAAGATCTGAAAACGTCATATCACAGCAATATATGTGCACCCATGTTCATAGCAGCACAATTTGTGATAGCTAAATTGTGGAAGCAAACCAAATGTCCATCCTCTGAGGATTGAATAAAAAAATTATGATACTTTTATATAGTGGAATATTACTCAGCTATAAAGAAAGATAAACTTGAGGATTTTATAGGTAAATGGTCACAACTAGAGACCATACTCATAAGTGAAATAAATCCGACATGCATGTGTAAGAATCATATTGTCTCACTAATGTAAGACTTGAAAGAGTGAATAAAAACTAGGAGGTATGATAGACATTGTGAAACAAAAGGAACATGCTCAAAAGTAAAGATCAACTGGGGTGTGGGAAAGGCGAAGGGAAAGAAGGGGAAAATATGTAAGTATGTATACACAGGATAGGTACCATAGTTGTACTGCTGTCTTCTATTCCTCTACAGAAAGGAACAGCTAATGATTACTTGGTTG